TTTTACAAAAATATACTCCAAAGTTTTCTGGAGAGAATCATCTTTAAACCTTGTTTAAAAGGGGTTTCAATAAAATCGAGAAAAGGGAAAGCTAAATTCTATCGTTAGAGAGAGCAGAGAAATAAACGGGTTTAAAGATGATTATCTAAGGTTATTTGGATTATATTTTTGTAAAGAAATAAGAAAGGGGTTTCAATAAAATCGAGGAATGGGAAAGCTAAATTCTATCGTTAGAGAGAGCAGAGAAATAAACAGGTTTAAAGATGATTCTCTAAGAAACTTTGGAGTATATTTTTGTAAATAAAAAAGAAAGGGGTTTCAATCAAATCGAGGAATGGGAAAGCTAAATTCTATCGTTAGAGAGAGCAGAGAAATAAACGGGTTTAAAGATGATTCTCTAAGAAACTTTGGAGTATATTTTTGTAAATAAAAAAGAAAGAGGTTTCAATCAAATCGAGGAATGGGAAAGCTAAATTCTATCGTTAGAGGTAGCAGAGAAATAAATGGGTGTAAAGATGATTCTCTAAGAAACTTTGGGGTTTATTTTTTTAATGAAAAAAGAAAGGGGTTTCAATAAAATCGGGAAATGGGAAAGCTAAATTCTATCGTTAGAGGTAGCAGAGAAATAAACGGGTTTAAAGATGATTCTCTAGGAAATTTTGGTGTATATTTTTGTAAAGAAAAAAGAAAGGGGTTTCAATAAAATCGAGGAATGGGAAAGCTAAATTCTATGGTTAGAGGTAGCAGAGAAATAAACGGGGTGAAAGATGATTCTCTAAGAAACTTTGGTGTATATTTTTGTAATGAAAAAAGAAAGGGGTTTCAATAAAATCGGGAAATGGGAAAGCTAAATTCTATCGTTAGAGAGAGCAGAGAAATAAACGGGTTTAAAGATGATTCTCTAAGAAACTTTGGTGTATATTTTTGTAAAGAAAAAAGAAAGGGGTTTCAATAAAATCGAGAAATGGGAAAGCTAAATTCTATCGTTAGAGAGAGCAGAGAAATAAACGGGTTTAAAGATGTTTCTCTAAGAAACTTTGGAGTATATTTTTGTTAATAAAAAAGAAAGGGGTTTCAATAAAATCGAGGAATGGGAAAGCTAAATTCTATCGTTAGAGGTAGCAGAGAAATAAACGGGTTTAAAGATGATTCTCTAAGAAACTTTGGTGTATATTTTTGTAAAGAAAAAAGAAAGGGGTTTCAATAATATCGAGAAAAGGGAAAGCTAAATTCTATCGTTAGAGAGAGCAGAGAAATAAACGGGTTTAAAGATGATTCTCTAAGAAACTTTGGGGTATATTTTTGTTAATAAAAAAGAAAGGGGTTTCAATAAAATCGAGGAATGGGAAAGCTAAATTCTATCGTTAGAGGTAGCAGAGAAATAAACGGGTTTAAAGATGATTCTCTAAGAAATTTTGGTGTATATTTATGTAAAGAAAAAAGAAAGGGGTTTCAATAAAATCGAGAAATGGGAAAGCTAAATTCTATCGTTAGAGAGAGCAGAGAAATAAACGGGTTGAAAGATGATTCTCTAAGAAACTTTGGAGTATATTTTTGTAAAGAAAAAAGAAAAGGGTTTCAATAAAATCGAGGAATGGGAAAACTAAATTCTATCGCTAGAAAAAGCAGAGAAAAAAACGGATGTAAAGATGATTCTCTAAAAAACTTTGGAGTATATTTTTGTAAAGAAATAAGAAAAGGGTTTCAATAAAATCGAGGAATGGGAAAACTAAATTCTATCGCTAGAAAAAGCAGAGAAAAAAACGGATGTAAAGATGATTCTCTAAGAAACTTTGGAGTATATTTTTGTAATGAAAAAAGAAAGGGGTTTCAAGAAAATCGAGGAATGGGAAAGCTAAATTCTATCGTTAGAAAAGCAGAGAAAAAAACGGATGTAAAGATGATTCTCTAAGAAACTTTGGGGTATATTTTTGTAATGAAAAAAGAGAGGGGTTTCAATAAAATCGAGAAATGGGAAAGCTAAATTCTATCGTTAGAGGTAGCAGAGAAATAAACGGATGTAAAGATGATTCTCTAAGAAACTTTGGGGTATATTTTTGTAATGAAAAAAGAGAGGGGTTTCAATAAAATTGAGAAATGGGAAAGCTAAATTCTATCGTTAGAGGTAGCAGAGAAATAAACGGGTTTAAATATGATTCTCAAAGTATCTTTGGATTATATTTTTGTAAAGAAATAAGAAAGGGGTTTCAATAAAATCGAGAAATGGGTAAGCTAAATTCTATCGTTAGAGGTAGCAGAGAAATAAACGGATGTAAAGATGATTCTCTAAGAAACTTTGGGGTTTATTTTTGTAATGAAAAAAGAAAGGGGTTTCAATAAAATCGGGAAATGGGAAAGCTAAATTCTATCGTTAGAGAGAGCAGAGAAATAAACGGGTTTAAAGATGATTCTCTAAGTAACTTTGGTGTATATTTTTGTAAAGAAAAAAGAAAGGGGTTTCAATAAAATCGAGAAATGGGAAAGCTAAATTCTATCGTTAGAGAGAGCAGAGAAACAAACGGGTTTAAAGATGTTTCTCTAAGAAACTTTGGAGTATATTTTTGTTAATAAAAAAGAAAGGGGTTTCAATAAAATCGAGGAATGGGAAAACTAAATTCTATCGCTAGAAAAAGCAGAGAAAAAAACGGATGTAAAGATGATTCTCTAAGAAACTTTGGGGTATATTTTTGTAATGAAAAAAGAAAGGGGTTTCAATAAAATCGAGAAAAGGGAAAGCTAAATTCTATCGTTAGAGAGAGCAGAGAAATAAACGGGTTTAAAGATGATTCTCTAAGAAACTTTGGAGTATATTTTTGTAAATAAAAAAGAAAGAGGTTTCAATCAAATCGAGGAATGGGAAAGCTAAATTCTATCGTTAGAGAGAGCAGAGAAATAAATGGGTGTAAAGATGATTCTCTAAGAAACTTTGGGGTTTATTTTTGTAATGAAAAAAGAAAGGGGTTTCAATAAAATCGAGAAATGGGAAAGCTAAATTCTATCGTTAGAGGTAGCAGAGAAATAAACGGATGTAAAGATGATTCTCTAAGAAACTTTGGGGTATATTTTTGTAATGAAAAAAGAGAGGGGTTTCAATAAAATTGAGAAATGGGAAAGCTAGTTTCTATCATTAGAGAAAGATGAGAAATAAACGGGTTTAGAGATGATTCTGCAAATGAATTTGGAACATTTTTGAGAAGAGATCAGAAGCAAGTGTCAGTTAAATCGCGTAAAAGTTTAAGACAATTTCTATCTTTAAAGATACCAGAGAAAGTGTAGAGGTAGAGATGATTCCCTTAGTCAATTTAGGTACGTAATTTCTTTGGAAGAAACAAGAAAAAGCAGTCAACTCAATCAAAGAGATAGAAAGCTAAACTCCATGGTTTTAAAAAGTAGAGAAGTAAAAGGGCTGAAAGATGATTCTGGCAGCAAATATTTTGAAAGGCAAGGAAAAGAGTTTTGTTCAAAAACAATTTTGTCAATGATAACAAGCACTTTTTGAGGGTAAAGAAAGCTGAATGAGAAACAGTATAGAATAGAGGTTGGATAGAGCCTGGCTCTGCCAGTGAATCAAAAGCAATTTTTTAAGACGAAATTACTAAAGGCATTAGGTTGTATCGAGGAGAAGAAGTAAAAATTCTACTTTTCGAAAGCAGGAAATTTGTTCGAAAATGTTGCTCTAAATTCTCTGAAAAATCATCTTTTAACCCTCCTTTATCCATTCTCCTCTAAGGATTGTTTTTAGTTTTCTTTTATCTCGATTCAGGTATAAAAGCCAGTTTTTGAATTCGTCAAAAATTGTTTTAAGTTAAATGACAGAATCATCCTTGAGCTCTTCTTTTTCTTTAGTCTTTCCAAGGATTGAATTCTTTAGCATTCTTTTAACACGATTCAACCGAATGCCCTTCTTCATTCTTGTCCAAAAATTGCTCTAAATTCGCAGACAGAATCATCCTAGAAACAACCTCTATTATCTGCTATTTCTTCGAAATAATTGCTCAAAATTGAAGAATTAGAAAGAGTAGGGAATAAAGGTTGATTTAAGGAGAATTCTGTCAATTAGATAACGAAAGTTAAAAAAGCATTCAGTTGAATTAAAGAAAAAGAGAAAGAGCAAACAAAAAGGAGTGTTAAAAGACAATTCTTTCAGTGAATTTGGGGTTTTTTGGTTAAAATAAAAAAGGCTTCAAGTTGAATAGAAGAAATGAAGGGTAAATTCTATCTTTAGAAAAAGCAGAAAAATACTTTAAAGTTGAAATGAAAAAGTGGATGCAGCGAATCACAAACTTGAAGTTGATGATAATCTCTCTGCTTGAAAAAGCAGATTATTTCAGAAATCTTCTTATATTTGATAAGCTCCTTATTCAATTTATTAAAATAACTTATTTAATTTTTAAAGAAAAGAAGGGTGTTACGATTGGTAACAATTTTTCATGCATGATGGAGATTAATCTTCCACTAAGATAATGTATTCAGCTCAATACGGTTACTGTTTATCAAAATTACTGTTTTACAGTCATAAGGTGTTCAATGCCATTAAATTAGAATTATACACGATTAGAACTTTACATCATAAGTGGTAACTTTGAGTTTCACCTTTTTTACAATAATAAAGAAACAGGTGAATATCATCATTGTTAAAAAAATCATCAGACAATGGGCAAATGGTTTTTTGCATATAAGCAGATAGCAAATAGAGAATAAGAAAACTATGGAATGTTTTGCAAGCATAAAATTCTAATAAGGTTTATGAATATATATGTTAACTATACCTTATATAAAAAAAAAATTTGTCCTTACCAGCAGCTCTTACTCTCTTTCCCTTGTTGTTAAAGATCTTCTTGAATCTAGAAAATATGTGACTGTTAATTGTAACTGTTAATTGTAAAGCATGTA